GGCGAGAGGTCGGGCAGGCTCGAGACGTTGGCGCTGGGGCGCGGAAGCGCGGTGGGCCACGCTGAGCCAAAGTTCCTGACCGCATGCTCGGGGAAACCAAAGAGGTGCCCATACCCCATACCGCCACTCCCCAGACCTCTCCAGGGGCGCGTTCGGAACAGAACTTCGAGGCGAGTCCAGCCGCGGCGAAGAGGGCCTCCCAGGAGCCCCAAGAGGGCGGGCGAAAACGAGGCAAGGGCAACGGTGCCTGTATATCATCCTCCCTTGACGTGGAACCTGCGAGCCGAAGACGTCTAATTCCACGCTGGCGGGTCCGACAGACTCCAGCAGCATCAGCACCAAGGCGAGCGCCAGCAGGAACAGCGAGTGCACGAATAGCAGCCGGTGCGCGGTCACGACGATCACGTACACGGGGAAAGAGATCAGCACCAGCGGGCTCCCGGAGGACACGGCGTGCTCTGTGTAGGCAGGCTCCTCACGCTCGTTGGGGCTTCGAGGTTTGAGGTTTCGAGGTTTTCGCGCGTCACCATCGGTTTCCAGAGGTTTTCCAGCCTCGGGGTGCATTCCATCAGCCGCGCCTCGTCGAAAGAATACTGGGATGCAGAAATCGTCCCGAACGACCGCCAGAGGCCGAGTTATGGCCCGAAAACCACCAGGACCCAGGTCGGCGGAGAGCCATTGTTTGAAACGAACTCCTCACTGTCATTCAGACTCTGCAACTGCGGGGTCGCGTCGTACGATATGTAGATCATCGACACCACGATGCAGTAAGACATGACCAGATAGCGCTGGCACCACTTGACGTCTGTCAGGATGCTGCAGTTACAGTGGATCAGCGTGCGCCAGATCAGAATGACCCCCAGAACTACAGCTCTGCTTGCCAGAAAGATGGCCATCTTGAGCATCCCTTTGGCAACGTCCCGCAGAGACCCGAAGACCCCCATTGCAAACAGCACGTAGACTGTCTCCGTCGCAGTGAGCACCACCAGGACTGCCGCCATCTTGGCCAGCCGCTGTGGCAGCTTGTTCATGACGCAGGCATGAAAGAACCATTCCTGGCACACCGGCGGGTTGGCCACAACAAGGGCCAGGAGAACAGCCAAACAGACTCCCCTAGACAACAGAAGTTATTGACACCAACCGATGTTGCCTTTTGCTGGATTGCATTCAACATCTAGGAGGCAGTTGAGGCACGACGTCATGACAAAATCGTGACTGGAGCCCGCGAGCCAACTCTGTTGCAGCGCTTCCTCGAGCCAGGCCGATCCATCAGGGCCCTGGGGCTCGAGACTGAGCAGAAACGACTGTCGCGATTGCTTTCGCAGCGCGCGAATGTCGGGGATTGAGCGAGCGAGCGTGCCTTGCCAGGGAAAAGAAAAAGCCTCCCAAGATGCATTCAGCAACCGCTCCAAGCCGTCACTGCCAGCTCCCAGTCGCGCACTGCACTGCCCCGAGGGCGGAAGGTGAGGCAAGCGACCGCGGGAACCAGCAATGTCAAGACACTCACGTAAGACAAGATACGCCCAACACAAAATTGAGCGGAACACCCAGCGGGCGCAGGCCTGCAACAAAAAACAAAGCGCAACGCTCTCTCGAGAACAGATAAAGGGCAGTTCGCTGATCGGCTTGGCAGGGTGGGGGTTCTGTCTACAGCGAGCGACTGTTTTCCTCCAACATCCTGTGGTTTTGGGTCCTGAATCCACAGCGCCCCGCGCTCACTCCTTCTCATTCCTCCTCCCTTCTCCCTCCTCCGCGTCCCTGCCCCAGCCCTCCACATGTCCGTATCGGCACACCGCTCACACGTTCCGTGGCCCCATAGGGAGCTCCACCGAAGGCCCCAGTGGCTGCGTTCGCATGGCGGCCCCGCACCCGAATGGAGAGCTCCGCCGAAGGCTCCAGAGGCCGCGTTCGCACGGCGGCCCCGCACCCGATTCGGCACATTCCTCACACGCTCCGAGGCCCCATAGGGAGCACCACCGAAAGCCCCAATGACTGCGTTCGCATGGCTGCTTCGCGCCCGATCTGGCACACCCCTTACACGCCTCGTGGCCCATGGGGAGCTCCAACGAACGCCCCAGTGGCTGCGTTCGCACGGCCGTACGGCGGCCCCGCACCCGATTGCTTCACCGCAGGCCCCAGTGGCTGCGTTCCCATGGCGGCCCCCGCACCCGATCCGGCACACCCCGCACACATGTCGTGGCCTCCTGGGGAGCCCCGCCGAAGGCCCAAGTGGCTGCGTTCCCGTGGCGGCCCCGCACCCGATCCGGCACACCCCTCGCACGCTACGTGGCCCCATAGAGAGCTCCGCCGGAGGCCCAAGCGGCTGCGTTCTCATGGCGGCCCCGCACCCGACTGGGCACACCCGTCGCACGCTACGAGGAGGAGGAGGAGGAGGAGGAGGAGGAGGAGGAGGAGGAGAAGGAGGAGGAGGAGGAGGAGGAGGATAGAGAGCTCCGCCGAAGGCCCAAGTGGCAGGGTCCGCATGCGGGCGTCGCACCGATTGCGGAAGCACCCCTCACGCGTCTCGTGGCCCCACGGGGAGCTCCACCGAAAAAGCCCCCGTGGCTGCGTGCGCAGGGCGGTCCTGCACCCGTGTCGACACTCCCCTCACCGAGGAGGACGAGGAAAAGAGGGAGGAGGAGGAGGAGGAAAAAGAGGAAGAGGAGGAGGAGGAGGAGGAGGAGGAGGAGGATACTTGCAACCTCGTCACTCCCAACTTCACATACGTGGTTGGGCTCGCCAGGACAACTCTAGACTCAGCGCCGGTGTATAGTTCGCAGTGTGCTGCCAGCACGGCCCTCTGTGGGGCCGCCGGGGCACATGGCTGCGGCGGTGCGGAAGCACCACTGCAATCCCGCCCATCCCGCCTGCGCTAAACTGTGCACGCAACTATCCTGCCCGAACCTGAATCCAGAACGGTCTGCACATGATGCTCAAAGACTAGGGGCGCAAAAAGTTCTGGACCTCTGCCCAGACGTGCTCTTGTGTGGCAGCGGGCTTTTTACATGCTGAGCCTGGCCAGCGTAAGGCAGTTCTTTTCAGGATGGTGGACGCAGCGTCTGTCAGAGCTCAGGTAGTGTCAGTTACTATGCTCTGCTGTCTTTTCTCGTGCCGCCACGAAGACGTCATTATCTGTATAGATAGCTTAGCGTCATTTGGTGGGGGGGTCCCTACTTGTTGGTTACGTGAGGGCTGTTGGTTTTCGCAATTCCCTGCATAGTGGTCGTACGTCTCATCTTATTTGATGGTGTGGCAGATTTGTTCTCAATGAAGTTTCCTGTATAACCCGCGGAAGGGCAATTCAGCAGCTGCGTTCTGGTAGTTTGTCCATGGAATGGATGTGGTGACTCGGGGTGAATCAAGCAGGCTGTTTTCGGAGTTGACGGTCCCGTTTTGGCGTCGTGCGCTCTTCTATAGAACTCGGGGTTGCCTGATGACCAGTGCTGTTTCGGCGTTGTAGTGGGCCGCATCGAGTTCCCTTCGGCTCAGCTTAGTTGCCTCAATTATGCATCACGCAGTTCTCGTTCGGAGTTTACCTCTGGAAAGTTCTTCGGGCTCCTGGACTTCGTGGCCGGTTCGCGGGTTTCGCGGACTTGCTCAGGGGCGTGGCGTGCGCCTGAAGACCACTGTGTGGAATAGCTTGTCTCTTGTCTCTCCTTCTCCTCCTCCCCCTCCTCCTCCTCATCATCAGCAGCATCATCATCATAAGCATCATCATCGTCATCATCCTCATCCTCATCATCATCCTCATCCTCATCATCAGCCTCATCATCAGCATGACCATCATTATCAGCATCATCATTATCGGCATCATCATCAGCATCAGCATCATCATCATCGTCATCACCGTCATCCTCATCACCAGCATCACCAGCATCATCATCAGCAGCAGCATCATCATCAACATCATCAACATCATCAGCAGCAGCAGCATCGTCGTCAGCATCATCGTCATCATCAACATCATCATCAGCAGCATCAGCATCGTCATCGTCATCATTAGCATCATCATCACCACCACCGTCATCATGAGCATAATCAGCATCATCATCATCATCAGCAGCAGAAGCATCAGCATCATCAGCATCATCACTATCATCATCAAAACCATCATCATCATCGCTATAATCCTCCTCCGTCCCCTCCTCCTCATCATCATGTCATCATGGCTGGCTCTGGGAGATGTGCACTGCGCGCGTTCCAGTGAGATGTAACCACCACCATCAACACCACCACCATCATCATCCTCATCCTCGTTCTCATTGTTGTCATCATCAGCAGCACAATGATCATCCTCATTATCGCCCTCGTCCTCATCTCAATCATCCTCATCCTCATCATTATCATCATCATCATCATCAACATCATCAGCAGCAGCAGCACTAGAATCGTCAGCGTCATCATCAGCAGCAGCATCATCAGCACCAGCATCATCATCATCAGCAGCATCATAGTTACCATCATCATCAGCATCATCAGCAGCATCATCATCAGAACCAGCATCAGCAGCATCATCAGCAGCAGCAACATCAGCATCATCATCAGCAGCATCATCAGCATCATCATGCATCCCAATCATCGCCTTCACATGCATATACATCTTCGTCAGCAGCATCAGCATCAGCATCAAAATCATCATCAATCGCAGCATCATCATCATCATCTTCAACAATAACAACGTCATCAGGTAGCCCCCAGGCAGCTCTCGTCAACAACAACACACCAATCCCCATCCGCGTCATCACCACCATCATCACCATCGCCATCACCATCACCATCGTACGCCACCATCATCACCATCACCACCACCATCACCATCACCATCGTCACCTCGGGGGCGGCCAAGAGGGGGGCGTCCAAGAGGGGGGGGCGCAACTTGTGGCCGGCGGCATGTGCGCGGCCAAGGGCGAGGGCCAGGGACGTGATGCAATAAGAAGAGGGGCCGTGAAATCTGGGAAATGTCATGGCCCTGGCCATGATATCCACCCCCCCCCCCGAGTCCTTACCCCCCCCCTCTTGGCCGCTCCCGATCACCGCCCGCCATCGCCACTACCGTGCCCCCCGGGAGCCCGCGCGTCTTAAGTCGGGCCTGTCCCCCTACCGGGGGATTGTCGACGAAAAATTTAAAAAAATGCCCCAAACATGCTAAAAAAATAATCCAAAAACAGTCTGGGAACTTTTTTTTGCATATTTCCCTACCTAGGCTCTGCCTAGAAGGGTTCTTACTCTGTTGGCTTAAAGGGGCCGGGCAGTGTAACCCGCCCCGGGCGGTTCCCCCGGTCCCCTGGGAGCCAAGCAAAAGCAACAGTAAAGGTAAAAGCAAACGCGCGGCTCCCCCACTTGCGCTCCCTGGGTGCCAAGCACAAGCAAAAGCAAAACCAAAGGCAAAAGTGAAGACAAAAGTGAAGGCAAGCAAAAGCATAGCATAGCATAGCATAGCATAGCATAGCATAGCATAGCGCAGCGTAGCATAGCGCAGTATAGCATCGCATAGCATAGCATAGCATAGCATAGCATAGCATAGCATAGCACAGCATAGCATGTCATAGCATAACATAGCCTAGCCCAGCATAGCATTGCGCAGCATAGTATAGCATAGCATAGCATGGCATAGCGTAGCGTAGCATAGCATAGCATAGCATAGCGTAGCATGTTGCTTTCCTAGAGGCTCCAACTCCTAGGTAGGGTCGCACTGGGATAATGTTTGACCTTCTTGGGGCATTAGTGGGGTATCTGTTATTTTTAATCGAAAATCCCCCTGCAGGGGGACACGCCCGACATAACGCGCGTCCTGGGAGACCTGCCCCAACAACACATGTTGCCCCAAACCAACGGCGGCCGCTGTTGGGCAGGCGGCCTCCTGTCTCGAATGGACACAGGCCGCGGCGGCACCGACAGCGAGTCCTGTTCAAAATGAACAGGAGGAACTGCTGTTGGGCATCGTGCCCCTTCTTTCCGTACCCATTCCGTTCGTGCCAAGGAAGAGGAGGAGGAGGAGGAAGAGGAGGAGGAGGAGGAGGAGGAAGAGGAAGGAGGAGGAAGAGGAAGGAGGAGGAGGAGGAGGAGGAGGAGGAGGCCTCTTGGGGCCCCCTTGGGCCCTCCTGGGCGCTTCCTGGGAGTGTTTTTGGCGCTGCTCTGGGCGGGCCCCGCCGCCACGGCCAGAGGTGCAGCTCGAGGGAGGACAGGAAGGCCAAAGCAGGGAGAGTTAGAAACATCCAGGCTCGAACGTCCCGGGCTGGGGCGATGGGGATGGGAGGGACGAGGATACTCCAGATTTCGTAATAAAAGGGAGGGGGTCTGAGCCCTCCAAGACAAGCCATTTCAGACCCCCCCCGTGGGAGAGCCCTCCAAAACATCGTCCCCAGACCCCCCCAAAGGCCCTCCAAGATAGCCTGGAAAAGACCCCCCCCGAAATGAGACCCCCCTCCCTTTATCACAGAATCTGGAGTACCCTAACCCGCAGGCGGCTGGAGGTATGGTTCAGAATGTAAAACAGGGCTAGGATCGGGATAAATCGACCCAGAGCGTTCCGGAGCGCTCTCAGAGCGTTCCCGAACGCTCTGGAGCGGCCGCGGCGCCCGATACATCCTGCAAACCCGCCGATTCTCAGAGATTTCGAGTTATCCCGATCCGATTTTGTCCCGATCTTCGTGTCGTTTTAGAAGGAACCGGAGCCCGTGCTCTCCGTACCCACGCCGCGCGTCCTGGAAGACCTGCTCCTCCTCCGGCGTCGCCTCCGAGCCCGGCCCCAGGAAGCGCCACGTCCCGTGCTGGAAGCTGCGCCCGCCGAGGTCCTGGCGGGCGGGGGCACGAGTTGCCGGCCTCGAGCGTGTCCCTATCCCTAAGGTTGGCACGCCGAAAAGCGATGGCAACCTTAGGGATGCGCCCTCAAAAAAAATAAGGGAACCCCTAAGATTGGCATCGTGATGAGGAGACGCCCAGCATGGGGATAGGGATATGTTCCAGGCTGGTGGACGAGGGCTGAGAGCCCCTCCCGCTGTGAAAAAAACACGACGGGAGGCTTTGGGCGAGTTTGGGCCTCCCAGGGCCCTTCCCCAGACCCCCTCGCGCTGCGAAAAAAACACGACGGGAGGTATTGGGCGATCTTCGGCCTCCCGGGGCCCTTCCCGAGCCTCGGGGCCGTCAGGAAACGACCCAGGAGGAAAAACTGGTCCCCGGGAAGGCGTCCAGACTTCTGGGGACGCGTCACGACAGAAACACGACGTCGGGGGTCTGGGGGCTCCAACATGGGGCCCAACCCTGAGATCTGGGCGCCACCATTTTGTCGCACCAGGCGTTTTCGCCCCGCTCTCGGGCCCTGGCCCGGGACCATCACAGGCTGATCTGGGCTCGAAACATGCCGCAGAAAGGTAGGGTCTACGCAGGGTTTCGGCCGCGATGCTCCACAATGCTGCCTTTTTTAGCAACGCTCGATGCCCAGGGAAGTAGATGGGGTCCCAGACATCCAACGCATTGGAAAAAGGAAACACGAATTAGCCAGAGGAAAGACCCACCCAAATGCAGCTGCGAATCACGCAGTGTATGAACCCCGCCTCATAGGTAGCGCGCCGTGGGAAAGATGGGGCACGGGACATGCGGGTGAGGGCTGCGAAACGAGCGAGGGGCGTGCCGAAATGGGCGGCGGGGAAGCGCGCGGGCCCTGCCACGGGAGCCTTCGGTGCTCTCCATGGGGCCACGAAACGTGTGATGGGTGTGCCGAAATGCGCTGGGGGGCGTATGCGAACGTCCACACAAGAGCCCTCGGTGGAGTCCCCTTGTGGGGCCACGAAACGTGCGAGAGGTGTGCCGAAATGTGCGGCGGGGACGCGTGCGGACCCTGCCACATGAGACTTCGGTGGAGCTCCCCATGAGGCCACGAACCGTGTGAGGAGTGTACCGAAATGGGCTGGGGGACGCATGCGAGCGCTGCCACAAGAGCCTTCGGTGGAGCTTCCTATGGGGCCACGAACAGTGTGAAGGATGTGCCGAAATGTGCAGCGGGGATGGGTGCGGACCCTGCTACAGGAGTCTTCGGTGGAGCTCCCTATGGGGCCACGCACCGTGTGAAGGATGTGCCAAAATGTGCGGCGGGGACGCATGCGAATGCTGCCGCAAGAGCCGTGGGTGGAGCTCCCTATGAGGGCCGGCACGTGTGAGGGGTGTGCCCAAATGAGCTGGGCGCACGCGAACGTCGACACTAGGGCCTTCGGTGGAGCTCCCTATGATGCCACGAAACGTGTGAGGGGTGTGCCGATATGTGCGGCGGGAACGCATGCGAACGCTGCCGCAAGAGCCTTCGGTGGAGCTCCCTACGGGGCCACGAAACGTGTAAGGGGTGTGCCGAAAGTTGCGGCGGGGACGCATGTGAATGCTGCCACAAGAGCTTTCGGTGAAGCTCCCGATGTGGCCACGATACATGTGAGGGGTGTGCCAGCCTATGCGGCTGGGACGCATGCGAACGTTGCCGCAGGAGCCTTCGGTGCTCCCTATGGGGCCACGAACCGTATGAAGTGTGCCGAGATGTGCCGCGGGGACGCATGCGAACGCTGCCATGGGAGCCTTCCGTGGAGCTCCCTATGGGGCCACGGTGTGCCGATATGGGCTGGGTGGCGCGCGCGAACTTCGCCATAGTAGCCTTCGGTGGAGCTCCCAATGGAGCCACGAAACGTGCGAGGGGTGTGCCGAAGGTTGCGGCGGGGACGCATGCGAACGCTGCCACAGGTGGAGCTCTCCACGTGGCCAAGAAACGTGCGAGAGGTGTGCCGAAATGGGCTGGGGGGGAGGCACACGAACGCTGCCGTATGAGCCATCGGTGGAGCTCCCCATCGGGGCCACGAAACGTGCGAGGGGTGTGCCGGCACTGGTTGGGGACGCATGCGAACGCTGCCACAAGAGCTTTCGGTGGAGCTCCCTATGGGGCCACGAAACGTGTGAGGGGTGTGCCGACTTGTTCGGCGGGGCCGCGTGCGAGCGCTGCCACAAGAGCATTCGGTGGAGCTCCCGATGGGGCCACGAAACCTGTCGGGGTGCCGAAATGTGCGGCGAGAACGCGTGCGAGCGCTGCCACAGGAGCCTTCGGTGGAGCTCCCTACGGGGCCACGATACGTGTGCAGGATGTGCCGAAATGTGCGGCGGGAACGCGTGCGAACGCTGCCGCAAGGGCCGTGGGTGGAGCTCCTTATGAGGCCACGAAACGTGTGAGGGGTGTGACGAAACGTGCGGAAGGGAAGCGAAGGAGCGCTGGCACAAGAGCCTTCGGTCGAGCGCCTATGGCATGAAACGTTTGAGAGGTGTGCCGAAATGTGAGGCTGGGACGCATGCGAATGCTGCCACAAGAGCCGTCGGTGGAGCTCCCTACGGGGCCACGATGCGTGTGAGGGGTGTGCCCAAAGTTGCAGCTGGGACGCATGCGAACGCTGCCACAAGAGCCTTCTGAGGAGCTCCCTATGGAGCCACGAAGCCTGAAGGGGTGTGCCGAAATGTGCGGCGGGACCGCATGCGAGCGCTGCCACAAGAGCCTTCGGTGGAGCTCCCTATGGGGCCACGAAGCGTCTGAAGGGCGTGCCGAATTGTTGCACATGCGGAGGGCAGAGGCAAGGATGGGAGGATGGAGGGGGAGGGGGCAGCGGGAGTAGGTGGGACGCGGGGCGCTGCTGACTCAAAACAAGGACCCAGCACCACAGGACGGTTGGGAATCGAGACGTCGGATGCCAGGGGTCGAAAAAGACGGGGTCGGCGGGTCGCGCCGACGTCGCCGATGCATCGGAGATGCGGCTCAGTGTGCATCCTAGCCTTCTCAACGTGAACGTCGTCGATGCACCGCCGACGGCGCCAGTGCAGCGGCGATGCGGCTCCATGCGGGGCCCCGTCGAGGGCCCCCCGGCCGTGGGGGGGGGGGCTGGGGCCCCCGAGCCCCGAGCGTCCTGCAGCACGTGGTCGAAAGTGTCCGGGCCGTGCTCGCGCGGGGTCTCGGTCCCGCAGCGCACGCACTCCAGCGGCC